CTAATCAAACAGGGCTCCCGGGATACATAGAATATGCAAGGGCATGCCGCAATTCGGGTAAAAACATCCTTTCAGATATGCTCTGGGAGCAAGGACGCTACTGGTAGCTCCTGGCATTCCTACTAGGAACAAGAAGCTACTAGCAAAAAAGAGCATTACTACTAGTAGCATTCTTGCTAGTAACAAAAAGCTACTACTTTGGATGCCACAAGGCTGAAAGTATAGCAATGGCCTCCAACCTGATAGCGATGGCCTCCTACATGGAGCCAGGGAACCAGTTCTTTGACAAACGCAGCACCAATGCGAGCAAGAATCAGTGTTTCATTCGGAACGATCGGGACGCAGCATACTCAGCCGGCATTCCTATTGAATTCCTGTACTGATTGCAACAAGGGGAGGTTGCTTTCACTGAAATCCCACGTGTCACATCTCACACTTTGGCCACACTAAGTCCTACTAGCGATGGCCTCTAACCGAGCAATTGCAAGCTTCCAGTTGCACAAAAAGATCTGTTTCCAAGACTGGCAACTTCCCCAAAACTCGGGCTTGGCGCATCAAACACGGGATGATCACGGTCATCCCGTCGCCACGAATTCGATCACGTCGCTGTGCAAGTGGCTCTGATCCGCCCCGGCTGCTATCGAGCGATCTGGTCCATTTGCCCAAGAACTCCATTTGCTCCTAGTAGCTTCTTGTTACTACTAGTAAGGCACCTGTTACTACTAGCGTGGCACTTGTTTCTACTCGCTTCTTGTTCCTAGTAGCGATGCCCTTTGCTATTAGTGGCGTCCTTGCTCCTAGTAGTAAGGCACTTGTTACTAGAAGCGATGCACTTGCTCCTAGTAGCTTCTTTTACATCGGTCTAAAAGAGACATATGTGTGAAAAGCACTTTTACGTGAAGAATGCCTTTCCAAAGGAGCCCTCTGAAAGCCTTCTCCGAATTTGGAATTAGTTCACCACAAGGACGTTGATTGCTAAGCCATGCTCTGGTGTGGACTCAATTTTGATCGCAAGCTTGGCCGAGAAAAGACCTAAAAGTATATGGACATGGCCACTTCGGAAGAGAGCAACGATGGCAAGCTCAAAGATTGAAAAGATCTCAAAAAGACAAACACTTGATTCGAAAGAACGCTACTAGTCAAGTTTTAATAAAGCACGAAAACGTGTTAAATTTGCTTCACGCAAAGTCGTCAAATTTGCTTCACGCAAAGTCCTGAGGGTTGAGAACACCTGGAGGAGGTCATGTTTTCGGCTGTTGCGGTCAATACACCCTTGAGTATCCCTTTGCTCCTAGTAGCGTTCTTGCTCCCAGTAGTAAGGCCAGGAGCCCCTAGTAGCGTACTTGCTCCTACCTTGAGTATCTGATAGTATCTTTGTTGATGGGTCAATCAACACTCGAGTTGCTTGTTTGTCGGTTGAGCACCACCTAGACGGTCCGACATCGACTATGTGCGAAGTGTGATCAAAAATAAGGAATGCATTCCTAGTAGCGATGGCCTCCAACCTAAGAGTGATGGCCTGTGTGCTGAAGGTTGAACTTGCCATATGATTGCAGAAACTTGAGCAATGAAACGCAATCATTGCTGAGCAAAAGCTGCTTAGAAAGACCTTCAGTGAGTCTGGCCCCATGCCCAACATCGTCCAAGGATGCTGGGTAAGAGTGCCCTGCAAGTCCATCTCGGGACACTGCAACCCTGTGTAACCGAGACAAATACAAAAGGGATGCAATCTAAAAGCGATGGCCTCCAACCTAAGAGCGATGGATGCAAAAAGCAAGAAGAGATCAGAATTGGCGTTCTAGAAGAAACCTTGTTTCAAAACGAAGTCGTCTGAGAGATTTTGAGTCTAAGGAAGGTAAACGTATAGAATCATGTAGAATCCTCCTTTGAATACGCCTGACCTTGCAATATGAACTGGCGATTTTGCCCCAGGGTCGAGACTTCGATTGACCAGACTTCGAATGGCTTCTTTTATTCTGTGGCCCTGCATCCTTACGTAATTAAGTAGGGACAAACTAGTTCGCTTCATATAGGCGGCCAATTGCTTCTTGGGGTAAAGTGTTGCTCGCTTCCTCTTCCTCAAACCACTTTGGCACAGGAGGGAGTACTAGCGGCCTCCAACCTACAGTCTTAAGCTATCTCTACCCTGGAGGCTTGGGCGAGTTGCAGATTTCAGTTCCCGTGAACGGAAACTCCGGAGTGTCACCCGAGAGCGCAGGACCGACTATGGTGACCGCCCGGCAACTCACTACAGCCATGCTTTGCTCAAATGAAAGCTGGGTAAAGGAGCGTTCTTGACAAACCCTCTGAGTGTCTCGCAAGTGCAAACCATGCTCAGGTGCAAACTCACGGCAACACACGACAACAAGATATCACACGACAACCCGCTCAGAATGCTTTAGAGAAGGCTCATTGAATGCTCCTTCGCCTCAAAACTTTTGGCAGCTTTCCCTAGCTGCTCTATCGTACCCGCTGGAAAGGGCAGTCCTTGGTAAGCAGGGCTAAACAGGGACCCAAGACTCACCAAGCTTTCAAATCCTTGAAACAGGTTCTTGAGGAAACTGCAGAAAAACAAAAATACTAGCGATGGCCTCCACCCAATGGCGATGGACTCACCAAGTGCACAGATTGTACACTGTTTGAGAAAAGCAGGTTCCATCTGAATGCTTGGTGACTAGAGCCGGAACATTGGAGGAGAGAAAAAGAGGTGTACCACAAAAATCCGCGAATTCCACACGTGCTAGTTGCATCTAGTTGCTCCAGCGCTTTCATCATAATTTGCGTGGCACCAACTGATCATTTTTATTGAAGCTTCAGGAACAAGAAGCTACTAGGGGCTCCTGGCCTTACTACTAGGAACAAGGACGCTACTAGGGGCTCCTGGCATCGCTACTAGGAGCAAGGAC